CTCCATGCTTTGGGGCATAGAAACAGATTCCTAGAGCCAAGAGGCCCTAAAAAATGTGGAGTTTGCCCCTCTCCCATTTAACAGACGAGGAAGCTGAGGCCGAGCAAGGCCAAGGAACTGTCCCAGGAATGTACAGCTATAGAGCTCAGCTTAGAGCTTTGGTCCCCCAGTTCATTCATTCATTCATGCATGCATGCGCCAAAGACATATCTGGCACCTAATGCGTGCGAGGTTCGGCACCATCTCCTTGCCATACTAAGTCTGTAAATAAAGCCTTGTGCCCATTTCCAAAGCCCTCCCCACGTCCCAGCATGGCTTCCTCCCAGCTCCCCAGCTCCCCAGCAGGCTTATCGATGCTTCACCAGCTGCACTCTTGGCGCAGCCCCTGGGCCAGCCCCCTCACTCAGCCAGTGAGGACCAGTTTGTTGCCAGGCCCCCCGGGTCACAGTGCCATGTGAAGCCATGTGCAGAGGTGATCACATGCGTGTGCTGAGAGCTCCACATTCCAGCCCCCCTTTGGGGGAGGACCGCGTTGGTCCCCGCACGCAGAACCTGGCCAGCGCAGACTGAAGCCAAGTGTTAAAACTGTCCAAGCTCCACAGCTGTCCTAGGGGTGGGAGAAGGAACTCAGCGTGGCACCTGGGATCTCAGGGTCAGGAGCAGACCTCTAAACTCCTGCCCAGACTGGGGAACGTGTGGGAGAAGGGGCCAGGGAGAGGCGCCGGGGGGCTGGGTATTTGCAGACCGCGGCCACAGGCAGCCCGCAGGAACTCTATGAGCTTCTCCCAACATGGCCGTGAGCAAGGACAGTGTGGGGGCAGCCAGTCTTGGAGAGATGCAGCTTCATGTTCCGGGGCAGGAGCCCAGACCTGGGCAAGCCGTGGTCATCTGCTGGGCCCATCGTGTGGACCTTCCTGATGGAGGTGACCCCGCCGAGGACATGGAACAGCTCGGTATCTGAGGGCCCAACTAAGGTCCAGCTGTACAGAACAGAAAAACTTCTGGGAACAGATCAACGCACTAGAGAACCAAAGAAGAATGTGGAAGAACAACAGAACGCAAAGCTGCTCCTAGGATAAAATTAATATGACACAGACTAGGCCAATGAAGCAGGAGCATCACCTCTGGTCCGAGGCCGTGAAGGCCCAGTGTGCCTTCTCCACCCCTCTTCTCCAAGGTGACCTTGGGTGATTCCCAAACTGAAACACGCATACCGAACACCAGCGGGCCTCATTAAAATGCGGATTCTGCTTCTGGGGGGGGCCTGGGATTCCACATTTCACTCGAGCCCCTGGAGGATGCCGACACCCCAGCACACATGGGGAGGAAGAGCCAGAGGCTCAGCTCCAAGACGGGGAAGACCTGCCTGACTCCACTGGACTCTCCGGGAGCAAAGATTAACCTTCCGTTGGGTCAAGCCACGAGATTTGGGGATTTGTGACCTCAGCATAGCCTAATGTGCCCCGATTAACATATTTAGCCAGGCAACCAATATTCACCGAGTTGTTAATCGAGGTACATCAGGCCATGCTGAGGTCGCAAATCCCCATTTGTGTCCCAAGTCCCCAATCTCAGTGGCTCTATGTTGCTGCCATGAACTCATTTGTGCCCCGGGCACCTGCCTCCTCAGGAGGCACTCACTCTTCGGGTGGTGCAGTGCACGAGGTGGGGGGCACCAGAGAGGGACAGCCCCTTCAACGCTGCTCCCTCGGGGCATCGAGGAGCACCTCCTAATCCCAGCACTGTCAGTCATGGTGGCGCCGGGATTTGAAGCCAGGATCTTTGGACTTATGAGCCCGTGCTTCCTTCCAGTAACACAAAGAGCCGCCAGGCTCATTCTGGGGTCCTGTTTGGGGGAGCTACAGCAGCCCCCAAGAGACTCATGGGTTCCCTGGACTGTCACATCCCTTTAGCACCGAACTGGGCAGTTTTGGGGGGCCTGCCCCACGTGTAAGCAGTCAGCAAAGTGGCGGTTCCCGCCACAGTCTTTCAGCACTCGGAACTGTGTATGCACGGCCCATCTCTGACACTCCCATCCCCAGAGCTGGCCATGCCCCAGGGCCTCCCACTGTCCGCTCGCTGCCCTCCTCAGTTATGAGAAAGGACCAGTTCCGAGCGCACAGCCACACTGTGACTCAGAGAGGCCCCTGGGGGCAGGGGTGGGGGGAAGGGTGGTGGCCGCAACACTTCCACTCATCTCTTGTCGCCTCCCTGGCCCGCGCTGGCCCGTGACCTCTTCACCGCCCCCCCGGGAGCCCATGGCAGCCTCACCTCCCGGCTGTCGGTGGCGGCTGTCCCCTCCGATGCTGCCCTGGGCAGTGTGTCTCTGGCCAGTTCCCCCCACACCGAAATGCTCCTGTCTTCCTTCTTGCCTCAGACGGAGGAGTGGTTCCAAGAAAAACTGATCAGTGGTGATAGAGGTCAGAAGAGTGAGTACCTGGAAGGGGCATGAGGAAACTTCTGGAAATGTATCTTGCTCTGGGTGGTGGTGACATGGGTGTGCACGTATGTGAAGAGTTACCGAGATGTACACTTCACACTAACACATTCCCCTCGATCTAAAAAAATATGTGCCACCGAGAGCTCTGCAAGCAGTCGTCACAAGAAATAACAATCAAAACCACAACATAAGGTTGTGGAGCCCAGTGGACCTGCACTGAAAACCTGGCTCTATTTTCTAGCTGTGCAACCTTAGGCGAGTTACTTAACCTCTCTGAACCTCCCCTCTCTTATTGAGGCGTAGACTGTGAAGATTAGAAACACCACTTTTTATAAAAAATACTTAGCACAGGGCTGGCTTCCTCTGCGTGCCCTTTATGTAATCACTTTCTTTTCTTTTTTTTTTTTTTTAAAGATTTTATTTATTTATTTGAGAGAGCGCATGAAGGGGGGAGGGTCAGAGGGAGAAGCAGACTCCTCGCTGAGCAGGGAGCCCGATGCGGGACTCGATCCCGGGACTCCAGGATCATGACCTGAGCCGAAGGCAGTCGCTTAACCAACTGAGCCACCCAGGCGCCCTATGTAATCACTTTCGTTGTTCTTAAGACCAGTGGTCCTAGCAAGGACGGGGCCTGGGAGTGGTCTTCCCTGAGCACAGGCAATAAGAGGAGCACGTGGTCCGTAGAGAATTTAAAGATAAAATGCAACTGATGAGAAGTCAGTATATAAATATAAACCATGTCAGGATGGAAATGTAACTCCTGTCAATCATAAAGTACTTTGTCCTGAAAACATCTTGTCTTGGTCCAAGTTCTAAACAATTGATGCAGTAACTGTTGAATTTTAATTAAGCTTCAAATTTAGCACATTTTAGCTTCTTATCCTTTTTTTTTTCTTTTAGAGAGAGAGCGCACAGGGGAGGGGCAGAGGAGAGAGAAGCTCGAGCAGACTCCGTGCAGGGCCCGATCTCACAACCCCGAGATCATGATGTGAGCTGAAATCAAGAGTCAGACGCCTAACCGACTGAGCCACCTAGGTGCCCCCTAATTTCTTACCCTTTAGGAAACCTGTCCTACGTGAAAGAGAACTTGGAGATCTCTAGGAAGACAGCTGCCCAGCGCACACAGACTCAGGAGCACGCATTCACTGGGAGCAGAAGCTCCTGACAGTTCAGAATCTTGCTCAGCCCTGTCTCCAACCCTGGGGGTGCAGTTCTGCACCCCGACAGTAGATTCAAAGCAACAAGGTCACAGAGTGATGGTGAAGACGAAGATAGAGGTATTTCAATTCTCTCGTTCTATGTGAGTCCTTGGAGTTTGGGCTTGTGCTTAAAATTGAAAACAGTCAGTGTGACCGTGAAGGGGGCGGCTGTTTTTATTTGGTAAGTGCAAACTTTAGTTCATACGTGAAAACTATTTGTCTCATCTCATGATTATTACTGAAAATAATCCTGTTGTGCAAAAAAGCGGGGTGCTCAGCAACGATCCACTCTGGGTGTAGAGCACCCTAGGCGTGGCTCGGACTAAAACATAAGCATAAGCATGGATAGACAAACAAACGTATCTGCTTCCCTCTAGGCCTGGGGACACTGCCTCCCCCGCCCTGCCCTCCTCCTCCAGCCAGAACCACTGAGACCTAGCATGCATTTCCATCTTCATCCTCCATCATCGACTCCTTCCCCAGGACTGCAGCTGGGAGGGAGGCTCCCCCCTCAGCAAGTCACTCAGTCTGACCCTATATCAGGTCACTCTTCTTCCTCACCCACCGCCCATTCTGGAACCCAATGCCCTCGCTTTGAGGTTTGGGGTACTGGTGGAGATTATGGGGGCCAAAGCCTTCCCCAGCCCCTGCTCGGCAGCCCCTGTTATTTTCTTTACCAAATTCTATAGTCCAAGCCCTTGTCCTCACACCCCTTACCCAAAGCAGCTGGAGCATTGGAGATGCCCCCAGAAACTGGGGGATTTGGATTTGGGTGTCCTGCTCCCCCACGTACAACACCACTCCCCACCTCCCTCAGCTCCAGCCACACCTTGGCTCCCAGAATAGGCACGTTATCATGCTCACTTCTGCCTTCGTACCATACGTGCTGTTCCCTCTGCCTGCAACATCCTGCCTTCTCTTACCCCCTCTGTCTGTGGCTCTCTGTAAAGACACCTCCTCCAGAAAGCTGTCCCTCACCTTCCGTCTGAACAAGGACCCCACCCCAGTATGCCCAGGAATTCCACCTGTTTCCCCACTGTCATCTCCCACTCTGGGCTTTGTCCCAAGGTCACTGTTGTGTCTCCAGCTCTTACAGACGGGGCCTCAGAGATGGCCAAATTAAACGAAATGGATTTGGTTCTTCCAGATCATCTGGCTGGGCCCGGCAAGTGCCAGCACATAGTAGGTCCAACCTGCATGGGCTCATCCACCGTGGGCCACCTTCCAGAGCCCAGGGAAGCAGGCCGGAGGGAGGCCCCTTGGTGCCAAAAGCAAACAGGCCGCCCCGGGGAAATTTTGCTGTGGGTCACACCCGCCTCTGGGTGGCTGCCAATCTTGCTGCCAGAAACCACAGGCCCAGCCGAAACTGCCCAGAGTCCGGGCCACGGGGCTTCGGAGGACTTGGGTCAGCGCTGCAAAGGGGGTGCCTGCGGAGCTCTTGCTGGGTGCACAGCGCCCCGGGCCTTGGGCGGGGGTCTGGGGCAGGGCTGCAACGGCCACAGGCGCAGCTTGGAAGGCCCCCTGGGGCTGGGAGGAGCAAGAGAGGCCCCCACCAGCCTGTCACAGGCTCTTGGCACTGGCACTGGCTCTGGCTTTCACACGCGCACACACACGCACAAGCTCACACACACGCGCACACTCACACTCACACTGGCAGGCCCCCTCTTGGTGGCCTCCACGGTCTCATCTTCAGGTAAATGGGCTCATCAGTGGGAGCATGAGGATGGGGAGACGAGGGGGAATGCAGAGACCAGAGTGTGTGTGTGTGTGTGTGCGTGTGTGTGTGTGTGTGCATGCGCGTGCCCGAGAGTGACCTCACAGCTGCCGGAACATAAACACTTACAGGTCCTGCCTCCCAGGCTCAAAGCTGGCTCCGTGGAGGACACAGGGACATGAGAGACGTGCCACAGACCCACCTTCTGGCCTTCTCCCTCCTCTGCCTCCTCCCAAAGGTAAGGGGGCCCCGGGCCCCAAAACGCCTGGCCGACTTCCTCGGTGTGGTGGGGGAGGTGTGAAATCACTGCAAGGATCCCCTGGAAGAACTCCTGCAGGTCCCCGGTGTTGGGCACAGCCCAGCTTCCCTCCCCGGTGCCCAGACATTCGCCTCTGGCCAGCTCGGCTGTGTTACCTCAGGCGAGTCCCTTCTCTCTGAGCCTCAGCTGCTTCCCCAGCTAAACGGCCATAATGATCATGAGGCCTTGGTGAAGATCACTGATGGCAATTCATCAGAAGTGCTATGCACAGGACCTGGAACGTGGCAGGTGTTCCAAAGAAGAGGGCCGTGACTATTCGCGGTCCCCAGAGCCCTTCTACAGAGCTGAAGGGGGTGTCCTCATTATAAAGGGGGAGATGCAACATAAAACCTGCTTTGCCTAACTGTGAGCCAGGATTTGAATGGATGTTGGCGTCTAACTGACGGGAAAGTTCTCACCACAAGGGCATTAATGCTGGTGGCCGTGAGTGACCTGCAGACCTGGGCTGAAGGGGGACGGGGAGACACCTCACGGAATAATGATCTCCTCTTATGGAACATTTTTCAGAAGGTTTGTGAAATACCTACCTTGCCTAACATATCCAAAAACCTCATAAGGAATTATCCCCTGTTTTCGGGCAAGCAAGGCTCAGAAAGGGCAAGCAACTTGCCTAAAATCACACAGCAAAGAAACAGCAAAGAAACATCAGAGTAATAGAGGCGGTGGAGCCAGGGATAGGCTTGGGTGTGTGTGGGGTGGGGAAGGCGCACTTCCATTTGTGCTTCTCCTGCTCCCTGTGCCTCTTCCCCTACCTGGACCAAGGCCACAGCTGCCGAGCCCCGTCAGCAAATGCTGAGTTCCCGATGCCATGGAGATCAGCCCCAGCACAAGCCATGATCTCACTGTACGTTCATGCTTCTTTGAGGAGCACGGCAGGAGCCTTTCTCTCCTGGGTCCTGAGCAGGAGTGGGGGCAAGGCTGTGAACCCAAGCCCACTGTTTCTTCTCCCGAAGGGGCTGTGCAAAACATGATGCCCGGGTGGGTGGCTTGGGTAGTTGGAATGGGGGACTTGGGGTTCTGGGCCCAGGCTTAAATGAAAGACCAAAAGGAAGCCGTCCGGGACTCATTGTCCACCCCTCCCTTCTTCCCTGTCCCCCGGAGCCGGGCAGCATCCTATGCAGAGTCAAGGACTTAGTCATCACCAACATGGAAAGCCACAACCATCCTCAGGGAGAGAATTCTAAGTCTTCCAGCAGCCTGTGGGCTCCTGGGCTCAGGCCTGTGAACAGGGCCAGGTGGCAGAGACCTGGAAACAGACAAAGTCACTGTGACTAAGAGCTAGCCATGACCTCATTTAATCCCTGTCACCATTTCAAGATAGGTGCTCTCCACCCCCTCTTACTGAGGAGGAAACAGCTCCCTCCCCATGAAGCAGTTGAATGGCATGTTGAAGGTCACACAGCCCATCAGTGGTACAACTTGGATTTCAATTCTTCTCTAGAATATTCCACATCCAGGACTCGACCCCCCTGGTGACTGCAGCAAGGGTCTGGGGAAACCGCATGTGTCGGGGAGGCGGGGCGGGTTAGGAAGGGCCTGGAGATCCAGGGAGTTCAGCCTTGTCCCCACACTGTTTTGAGCTTCTGTTTCCTGGTCTTTCCAGTGGGCACAAAGCTGGTACCTCATCTTGCAGAGTTGAATTAGCCCATTACAGCTCACGGCTTGCCCGTGGCCAATGCCAGCTGCAATCATTGATATTATTAGTGGCCCCTCCCAGGTGTCAGGATGCCCACATCCGGCCCCGGCTGAGCTCACCCCGTAGAGAGCCCAGGGTGGGAAACCTGGTACAAAGCAGAAGGCCTGTGGCCCGGCACCCCTACTTTCGGGTGGAAGGGACCCGAGAGCCAATTCTGGTCAGGGTCCCCACTTCTCACTAACCAAGGGAGCCCAACCTCTGATTTGCAAGGGAACCCCAAAGTCCAGCTGATTACTCCTCAGGCCGATTCCATGAGAATCATTTCCAGACGTATTACACTGCAGCATTGGATTCATAAAGAGGGGCCCTGGATGCTGCTTCAGACTTCCAGGTGAGGCTGATGCTGCTGTCTGGACCAGGCTTTGAGGGGCAAGGCTAGGCCATTATCTCTAGAATCTCTTTGGTATCACCCAGTCCCCGGCTTGGAATTCCTGCAGAGATGGCGACTCGCTCCCCTGTGAGGCCCTGAGCACAGAGCTGCCCACCTGCCTCACTACCTCCCAGCCTGGAGCCCCCCTTCCCCCCCAACCAGGGCTGGTTGACCAGTGTGGGGTGGCCTCTGGTGGCCAGGGTGCAAGCTGCAGGCCACTGAACGCAGATTCGCAGGACTGGGGGGTCCTCGGGGCGGGACAAAGTAGGCACTAGGGCAAAGGGGTCATTGCCTGCTTTGGGGCCACATAGAAGTTAGGAGGTGATTCATTCCATTTTTGTAAACTGTAAGTCTTCCATCCTCCAGCTAAAACCCTCTGGTCCTGAAACCCTACTGAACTGAAGATTGGTCCCTCACCAAGGGGCCTACCGGAAGCTACCGGGCTATCTTGAATTATGCCTGCCTCTGGGTCCCCACCTTCAGATGGACATATGGGGAGACCATGGCATCTGGTTTCTGGTTTGCTTGTTTCTCTGTCCTGAGTGCGGAGGAACAACCAGGACACTTGGGTCAATACCTTGACCCTGTCGCTGGGGGGTGGGTCCCTGGCTCAGGCTTTTCCCTATTACAGGATCCTTGAGGAGGAAGCGGGCTCCCAGCTCTGCAGCCAACACGCTGTGACTTTTGGCAAGACCCGTTCTCTCTCTGGAGCTCAGTTTCCCCCATCTCTCCCTGGCAGGGGCATGGGGGTTAGAACTGGAGCAGAGGTGCCAAAATCCTAGCTATGCATCAGAAGCCCCTGGATAGCCCGATAAAAAAAAAGATTCCAGGGCCCTGTCTCTGGAAGTTCTATTTGGTAAGTCCCAGGGGAGGCCTGGGAATTAGTATTTTACCAAGTTTCCAGGCTGATTTGATACGTATCCAGAAACATATTCTGTATTGTTCCAAAGATCAAAAGCATCTATGATATTGTTTGATTTATTCAGCTGTCAAGATAAATATTCGCAGTCTACATTCTAGAAAATGTACAGTACCCTGCCATTGTAATCCTTTGTTTTGTTGCTCTTGCCTTTCTGTAAGCTTCTAGAGGGCAGGATCTAAGTCATTCCTTGTAATTCCCGATGGTGATCATCACAGCTAAATGCACAGAGCATCTACTGCATGCCGGGCTGTGTGCTCAGGGTTTAACATGCATCATTTTACGTACTCCTGAAAACAATCCTCCGAGTTAAATATTACTAATGCCCCCTTTTCACAGATGAAGAAACTGAGGCTTGGAGAGCTTAAGTAACTTGCCCAAGCTCACTCAGCTAATAAGGAGCAGAGTCAGGACTGCAACTGTAGGCCAAAGTCCTTGCTCATGACCACAAGGGTCCAAGGCCAGATCTGTGTGACCCGGGGGCCGAAGCATGGACCCCTCACTGCCCACCTGGAATGACCGAGTGACATGCTCTGTCTCTGCAGGTGTGTGCCCAGCTGTGCCCGACGCCGTGTGCCTGCCCCTGGCCACCGCCCCGATGCCCACTGGGGGTGCCCCTGGTGTTGGACGGCTGCAGCTGCTGTCAGGTGTGCGCACGGCGGCTGGGGGAGCCCTGCGACCATCTCCACGTCTGCGACCCCAGCCAGGGCCTGGTCTGCCAGCCCAGGGCGGGCCCTGGTGGCCGAGGGGCCGTGTGCCTCTGTAAGCAGGTTTGCGGGACCGATGGTGGGTGTGTTTGCGAGGGTCAAGGCTGAGGGGTCCTGAGTCAAAGAGAAGCTCTTCTCTCTCTACCTCCTCACTGTAGGTACACCATCCATTCCAGCCAAATCTGGTGACGCACGTTTCCCGAGGCCCTCCCTCTGCTCCTCCCCTCTTGTCTTTGCTCCGACTATGCCCCCCACCTGAACGGCACCCCCCCACTCCTACCTGTCCAAGTTACAACCAACTATCAAAGCCAAGCTCAAACACTTCTCCCCTGAGAAGACCTCCCAGATTCCTCAAACCAGGAATCGCTATCCTTTCTCAGGACCTTCACAACACTTCTGAGAAAATAAAAGTGCAACCGTTTATTTAGGGAGGGCATAGAGTAATCGGTCTCAGGCAGTATGCTGAAACTTACCACATGATCCTTGCATAAATCACATAATCCTCACAAGGATCCTCTGAGGTAAGTCCTTTCAGACTCAGAGATGAGCAAACTGAGGCTCGGTAATATTAACTGGCATGATTACTGTTACACAGCTTGGGACCAGGTCACACAGGTTCTGAAGCAACATTTCGTTCTGTCTTCCTCCTGGATTGGGAGCCCTTGGACCAGAGTTTGGATCCTGAGTTTGTCATTTACTAGTGACCTTGATCGTGTTACATCTCCCCCCATTCCAAGCCTTGGTGCCCTCTGATGCTTTAGATCAGAGTTTCTCAACTCTGCTTTTTGGGCCAGATAATTCTTTGGTATCATTCTTTACTGGGGAGGGCGGACTGTCCTGTACTTGGTGGGACCTTCAGCAGCATCCCTGGCCTCTACTCACTGGATGGCACTAGCATGTCCCTCACCCACGAGTCGTGACAATCTGTCTTAGACGAATGTCCCCTGGGAAACAAAATCATCTCCAACAGAGAACCACTACTTTAGAGAAACACAAAAACGTGAGGGTGTTCTTTTTTTTTTTTTTTTTTAAATAAGTCTTGTAGAGCAATCTACGTCTTTCATCTATTTGCATGTATCACTTTAAAAAAAGAACAAGAGAGGTAAGGGCTCATGAATCACTGATAATGAGTCCACTTATAGCAAAAAACAAGGTTAAAAAAAACCCAAGACTAATAGACATAAAGTTATCAATACTAAATCCTTGTTAAATGCTTTTTTTTTTTCAAATCAGGGGAGTGTAATCATGAGAAAATAGTGATTTGTTTTATAAACTCATAGATGATTGCTAATAAAAATGTATCTAGGGAAAAAATGAGATAAGTAACTCTTATCTTCCCAGGCTGTTGTTTCAACGAGCCAGGACACAGACAAAGCATTTGGCTGAACTTTATTTATTGAACACTTGCATAGCACTTAACCATGTGCCAGGCACTCACAAATATCACCTCATTTAATCTCACAACAACCATATGAGGTTGGTACTAATGTCATCCGTATTTTATAAATGGAAAAAAAAAAAAAGGAGGCACAGAGAGGTGAGGCAATTTGCCCAAGGTCACACAGCTCATAAGTGGCTGAGCAGGGATTTGAACTGAGGGAGCTGGCTCCACAATCTTCATTTCCATCACTCTACTGCCTGACACTCAGCATATGATGAGTTCATATTGGCTGTTACTGTCACTAAGTTTATTAGGGGGCTTTTCTTATTCCATCTTGATTCAGACTTCAGACAGCTGGAGGTCAAAAATGTACCTGGTCTTTGCTTTTTCCTACAACTCCCAGCCCAGGTCATGCAACACAGTGGGTGCTCACGAGCCAGATCTGGAGGCTGGTGAACCCCACAGGTGAGACCTCACAGAGGCGGAGTCTAGGTCTTAGCTCTGGAGGGAATATGCTGCCCAAAACTCTCCTCTCAATTCCTAATTGGGTGGACCTCTGACAGTGCACTCCAAGCTGTGTGTGTGTCCTCCATAAGCTCCTGAACCCCCACACCCCGAGCGTGCAGCCTCCCCAGCTCAGCCAAGCGCATCTCCACCCTCCCTGTGGCTTGAGTTCAAAACCACAGTCATTCTTGACATCTCTTGTTTTGCATACCCCAATACTGCCCACCAGCGAAGTCTTCACAATATTCTAGAACCTGAAATTCTAGTCCCTCCTCAGTCCATCCGCTGCTACCAGCCTGGTCTGAGCCTTGTCATCACACACTAGATGTTGCAGCAGCCCCATAACAGTCTTCCCACTTCTGTCCTTTGCCCCCTGCTCTGTTCCCAACACAGCAGCGACAGGGGCCCTTTCAATACATACATCAGATCACATCCCTCCTCCTCCTCGAGGCCTCCAGCAGCTTCCCACCGCCTCCGAGTAAAAGCCAGTCCTCTCAATGGCTACAAGGCCCTGCAGGGTCCTGCTCCTGTTTTCTCTCTGACCCTGCTTAACTCCCTCTCTCCCTCCTGCTCTCTGCTTCAGCCATGCTGGCCTATTTTGTGCCTTAAATACCCGAGGGGGCTCCCACCTCAGGGCCTTTGCTCTGGCTGTTTGCTCTACCAGTGTTCTTTCCCCCCAGATATCTGCATGGCAAGCTCTGCATCTCCTTCTCATCTTTCTCAAAAATCACCTTCTCGGGGCGGCCTTCCCTGATCACCATATTCAACATCCCTCTCTTGAACCCTGCCCTCCATTATTTTTCTAGCTCTAATCACCATCGGACATCATAGACTTTACTTGTTTATAGTGTTTATTTCCACTAGAGCGAAAGTTCCAATGAGGGCAGGATTTTTGCCTGTTTTAGTCATTGCTGTATCTATCATGAGTCCCTAGAACAGTGCCTGGCACATAGTAGGCCCCCAATAAATAAAGACTGAATGAATGAATGATAGTAAGAGCTCTGGAGAGCCTAGCAGTAACAGGTACCATTCAGGGAGCGTGTCCTGTGGGCACGTCCTTTACACACGTGATTTCTTTTTACCCTTAATAATGAGGTAGGTCCTATTATTAAACTGATTTGCAGATGCAGGAACAGGGATTCAGAGGGGTGAAATCGCCTGCCTAAGTTCACACAGTGTGCAAGTGGCTAAAGGTGGAAAAAAAAAATCCTCTGTTGTTCCTTCTACAAGGGACTCTCGGAGGGAAAGAGGGACGCAGAGATCACCAGATGACTAGACTGGGCTCTGAAGTTATTTGAGGGAGGTTGCTGGAAAGGGGGCATTGGAAGGACCTGGAAGAGGAAGTAGGATTTTGGCAACTATATGTGTATATGGTTGGCGGGGGAGAGGGGGTGGCGGATTGAAGAGTGAGTACGTTTGGAGGCGCCTCCTGGTGTTTGGGACCAAGCACAAAGGTGCACACAGACCCCAGGGCAGGGGTGGGGGTGGCCGCCCAGGGATCATCAGCCCCACCCCTAGCCAGCCCTGAGCTAGAGGACCAGGAGAGGAGCCAGGAAACCTTGCTAAAATTATCACCCCTCCAGCGGACTTTCCGAAACAATCCCTCTGTTTACCAGGCCCTCCCGGAGACCAGGAAGCCCCAGGGCTGTGGCCCCAGGAGTCTGCTGGGAGACCCCTCAGGATTAAGGTGCAGCTGCCCCTAGTTTCCAGGAAACCAGGGGCCACATGATCCAGGCCAAAGGTCAGGGATTTGGCATCAGAGGGCTGTGGCCTGGAAGGAGCAGGGAGAGGGCTGGCTCTGGTTCTGTCCTCCCCCGAGGAACAAGCATCCCCCACTCCAGCTCACAGAGCATCTGCTGTGCTCCAGGCTTGCAGAGAAATGCTTTAACACTAGTTCCTTTAATCCCCCAGTGGCCCTGGGAGCCAGGTCCGGTGGCTCAGAGAGGTGCAGTGACCTGCCCCCAGGCCCCACAGTTAGCAAGTGGGAACAGGGGCTGGCGCCCACATCTGTGCGGGTCCCAAATTTCTGCGTGGGTATGGGCCTGTTGGAGGTTTTTCTCTGAAGACCTGGGAAAACCTGCCTTCAGGCAAATCTTTCCAGACCCAACTGAACTGCCCGCCCCCCACCCCTCCCCGTCTCCAGGACCTCCGAAAGAGGTCCTCCTTGCTCTGTCCTTCCCCGGGCGACTCACCCGGGCCTCTCCACGGCTTTTCATTTCTGTGTTGCAGACGGTGACTTTCACATCTGTCCCCTGCCTGGCCCTCTGTCTCTCAAGACAAGGACTGTGTCTTAGTCCTGTCTAGGAGCTGAGCGGTCGGCACCCTGGAGGGGCACCCTACGTATCTCTGGAACTATAAGAAATCAGAACCTCTTTCATCAATGTCTCTTCTGTGCTGGGCCTTGCACGAGGCATTCTTTCAAAGGGTATTTCCTGAGGGTCTGTGTGTCCATCCATGCTCTGGGCCAGCACGGGGGGAGGGGGAGCGTAGTGGGGGAGGGTGCCAGCCTGAACACTCTCAGCCCCAGCCCTCAAGGAGTGCTTGTCCAGTGGAGGAAGTGGGAATAACACCCGTATCTTAAGGGCTTCGTTTGAAGAGTGTTTCTTGAGCACCTACTCTATGCCTAGCACGGGGCTAAATGTTACGGACTTATCAACTGTACCTGAAGGTACCCAGCTGTTCTCATCAACGCTATTGTTAAGGCAACTCAGAGAAGTTAAGCAACTTATCCAAAGTCACAAAGCCAGCAAGTTAAGCCTGACAGTGATGACCACAACATAGCAGATGCACAATGAAAGTGTGTTGCATGAACTTTCGGTGTGTATATAAGTTATATATTATTAATATATAGTAATTAATTATATTAATAGTAACAACAGAGCAGCTGGGATCTATTGAAGGTCTCTTTTATGTTGGATTCATTACATACATCATTTCATCTAGTCTCTACCACAATCCTGTGAAATAAGTGCCCCTTATAAAACCTATTTTGCAGATAAGGAAACTGAGGCAAGAAGAAGTGAAGTCGCTTGACCAAACTGCATAGCTAATAAAGAGCAGAGTGGGGGCTCCAAGTAGGCCCGTGTCCCCACAGCCCCTGTGCCAGGATGCGGTATGCCACGCTGTCTTCCCGCGGGCGCCCAGGCAGGTCGGCAGTGGGGACCAGCTGGAGCCCCCCCGGCAGTGCGCAGACGCTTAGGGGCCCTAGTCCCCAGCAGGATCAGGGCCAGCTCTGCAGGGAGACCGGGTGGCGGATGTGGCTGACACGGTCTTGCCCAGGGAAAAGTTGGGGGTCAAGGATGGGGGTCCGGTTTCTCCTCTGCAGGGGGAGAGGATGATGGGAGCTGCGAGGTGAACGGCCGCCTGTACCGGGATGGGGAGACCTTCCAGCCCCACTGCAGGATTCTCTGCCACTGTCAGGACGGTGGCTTCACCTGTGTGCCCCTGTGCACTGAGGACGTTCGGCTGCCCAGCTGGGACTGCCCGCACCCCAGGAGGGTTGAGGTCCCTGGCAAGTGCTGCCCTGAGTGGCTGTGCGACCAGCGAGGGGAGCTGGGGGTCCAGCCCCTCCCAGCCCAAGGTGCGTGCAGGGGGCGGGGCAGGGGCGGGGCTTCTCAGGAGCCGGGACCTGTCAAAGCCCCTGGGGGCGGGGGCGGGGCGGGGGCGGGGCTTCTCCGGAGCCGGGGACCTGTCAAAGCACAGGTTTCCCTGACCGCAGCTGGGAGGGGCTGGTGGCTGAGGAGACTAGGAAAGCCGAGTGGGGCGTCACAAGACCTCTTTAAAACTGACAAAACAAGTAAATATTTTTAAATCATAAAAAATAGAAACTAAAAATTGGTAGCAGAGGGGCGCCTGGGTGGCTCAGTTGGTTAAGCGACTGCCTTCGGCCCAGGTCATGATCCTGGAGTCCCAGGATCGAGTCCCGCATCGGGCTCCCT